ATCACAAGAAAACTATAGATCAGTATCCCTTCTGAATACAGATGCAAAAATCCTCAACAAAAGACTAGCAAACCAAATCTTGCAGCTTATTAAAAGGATTATACACTATGACCCAGTGGGATTTATCCCAGGAATTCAAAGGTGGTTCAACAGATGAAAATCAAATCAATGTAATACAGCATATTAATAGAATGAAGGGAGAACAGAACCACATGATCCTCTCAGTAGATGCAGATAAAGCATTTGACGAACCCAACAACACCCTTTTGTTGTTAAAAAAAAAAAACATTCAACAGACTGGGAATAGAAGGGAACATTCTCAATCTGATAAAGGACATTTATGACAAGCCCACAGCTAACATCATACTTAATGGTGAAAGGCTGAATACTTTTCCCCTAAGAATAGAAACGAGACAAGGATGTCCGCTCTTGCCTCTTGTATTCCACGTTGTTGTACTGGAAGTTCTAGCCAGGGCAGTTAGGCAAGAAAAAGAAATTAAAGGCATTCAGATTGCAAAGGAAGAAGTAAAAGTGTCTCTATTCACAAATGACATAATGTTATATATACAAACAGAGTTTGTTCCAACTCACAGTGATCCTGTAGGACAGGGTAGAACTGCCCCATAAGCTTTCCAAGGCGGTAATCTTTACGGAAGCAGACTGCTACATCTTCCTTCCACTGGAGCGGCTGGTGGGTTGGAACCGCTGACTTTTGGTTAGGAGCTGGGCACTTAACCACTGTGCCACCAGGGCTCCTTGATCGTATATGTAGAAAACCCTAAAGATTCCACAAATAATTATTAGAGCTAATAGAGTTCAGCGAAGTTGCAGGATACAAGATCAATATACAGAAATCGATTCTGTTTCTCTGTGTTAGCAATGAACAATCTGTAAAGGAAATTAAGAAAACAATTCATTCACAGGAGCATCAACAAGAATAAAATACTTAAGAATAAATTTAACCAAGGAGTAAGGTTTGTACACTGCAAACTACGAAAGAAATGAAAGAAGACCTATATAAATGGAAAGACTTAGTATTGTAAAGATGGCAATATTACCCAAAGCGATAGATTTAATGTGATCCCTATCAAAATCCCAAAGGCCTGTTTTTGTAGAAATGAATAAGCCGATCCTAAAATCCATACGGAATTGCAAGGGACCCACAAAAAGCCAAAGCAATCTTGAAAAAGAAGAAGAAGGTTGGAGGACTCACACTTTTGATTTCAAAACTTATTGAATCAGAAGAGTGTGGTACTGGCATCATGATACAGACCAATGGAATAGAATTGAGAGTCTAGAAATAAACCCATACACCTACGGCCAATTGATTTTTCCCAAAGGTGCCAATTCCATTCAATGTGGGAAAGAATAGTCTTCAACCAACCACGCTGGGATGACGGGATACTCAGATGTGCAAAAATAAATTTGAATCTTTACTTCACACCATACTCCAAAGTTAACTTAAAGTGAATCAATGATCTAAATGTAAGAGCTAAAATTATAAAACCCTTAGAAAGAAATGTAGGGGTGAATCTTCGTGATTCAACAATAATTTCTTAAAAGTGACACGAAAAACACGAACAATAAAGGAAAACACGGATAAGTGGGACCTCATCAAAATTAAACTGTTCTGTGCATCAAAACTGATGCATGGATAAACAAAACGCACTATATCTGTACAGTGAAAGGAATGAAGTACTGATACAGGCTACCACGTGGATCAACCTTGAAAACACTTTGCTAAGAAGCCAGATTAAAAAGGCCATTTACTCTGTGATGCCATTTATATGAACTGTCCAGAATAGGCAAATCCATAGAGACAGGAATATTACACACAAATTTAAATCACAGTAACGTCTGTTGGTTAGGAAAAAATGTTTTCTTCCTCTCTAATTCATTTTAAATTAGAATCCATGAGAGTTTCTAAAAGCAGCAGCGTTCATATTTCTCCTCTAGTTGTTGAATAAACAGGAAAAGGAAGCTGAAGAATAAGGTAGCTGCAAAGTCCAGTGCTTTGAGGTCTTGACCTGGCCCAAGCATCCAGTTCTTTGTTTTAATATTTCACATTATACCCCATCATTGGAAAGTATAAAAAAAAAAATCATGATTTTGTAAAAATACAAAGTTCTATGTAGGTTGGAAACCCTGGTGGTGTAGTGGTTAAGTGCTACAGCTGCTAACCAAAAGGTTGGCAGTTCGAATCCACCAGGCGCTCCTTGGAAACTCTATGAGGCAGTTCTGCTCTGTCCTGTAGGATCACTATTAGTTGGAATTGACTCGATTGCAACGGGTTTGGTTTTTTTTATGTAGGTTTTGAAAGCTAGAGTATGACTGAGGTTGAATAAAATAATTTGCCTGTTTTTTTTAATCAATATTTTGTGAAAAATAATATTCTTATTGCAAAGCTTATAAAATCTGTATTTAATGAAAATATATTTAGTGCATGCTTGTTCTTTTCACCATGGCTTGGCAAAAATGCATGTGACTAACCAAAAAAGCCCAAACCCGTTGCCGAGTAGATTCTGACTCACAGCCATTCTATAGGACAGAGTAGAACTGCCCCATAGGGTTTCCTAGGCTGTAATCTTTTACGGGGGCAGGCTGCCACATCCTTCTCCTGCGGAGGGCTGGTGGGATTGAACAGCTGACTCTTTTCAGTTAGCAGCTGAGCATTCAACCACTGTGATACCAGGGCTCCTATATGAGACTAGCTTGTTTAATGAAAAAAGTCATCTCTTAATAGAGCATATCTGAAGGGGTCAGTGCAGTAACTGGTGGCACAGTGATTAGGCTAACTGAAGGGTCGGTGATTTGAACCCACCAGCCATTGTGTGGGAGAAAAGACCTGGCAATCTGCTCCCATAAAGATTACAGCCTAGGAAACCCCATGGGGCAGTTCTGCCCTGTTTTGTAGGGTCTCTGTGAGCCAGAATCGGCTCAACAATGCACAACAGTAATGCAGTAATTGGACAAATCAGTGACTGGTGTCAAGGGACTGAGGTTTTGTGACCCGAGTTTTACAATAAGGAGTTGGCTTACGTGATCTCATAAAATTGTGTTTCATTTTCCTAAATGTGAGAATCTCATGTGCGCCAGCCCCGGTGCTGAGGGCACCGGCGGAAGCTCTTAGCCCCCCACGTTCCAGAGGCCCACGTTCCGATGGCTGAGATAGGACAGTGGTCACGGTACCATTTGATGCTCAGCCTTTCTGCTCCTCAAACACGCCCGGCTTGTGCTGACCTCAGGGCCATCGGCAGGTCCCCAGGGAGCACTGTCCTTCCACCCACCCCATTCCCATGACCCTGCGTGGTCTTTGTGGCCCGTGTTCATCTGTCTCTCCCCAGTGTAAGTCCGGTGTGAGCGGGAGCCTTGCCCGTCTTGTTCTGCGAGGCCTCAGATCTAGGCAAACGTTTGCTTAGTGGGCGAGTATCCTGAGTGCAGTGATACGGGCGTACACATGGTGCACCAAGCAAGATGAACGGGCGAGTATCCTGAGTGCAGTGATAC